TGGCAGCTGTTGACATGGTTTTGCAAGATTAGGATCTGCTGCTAATGTGTCCTGTGGGCTTTGTCTATGGAGGTAACCAGAATTCCTCTTTATCAGCTGGAAAGCTGATGGAAGTTGCTGACCACAAAAAGATGCTATAGAAAAAGCAAAAGAATTGGAGGGCAGCTGAAATGTGACAGTAGATAACAGTAATGAGTAGGACAACCACTAATACTGCTAAGCAAATACTGTTCTACTTGAGAGAGAAAAGTAACATTCATGGGTATGCCTGCACAAAAAAAAATATTCTCCTGTGGCTTGGTCACATGCAATCACGAGGAAAACTGAAGCTGTACGTTTTCTATGGTAGGGAGAATATTTTTTGACAAAATGGGATGTGATGGAAGGTATCTGGAATAAACATTAAAAAATAAAACTGTTCATGGTCTCAGAGGAAAAAGAGAGCAGACCCTTTTAGACAGGCAGAACTGATGAAGCACATTGCTTTTTCAGACTCGTACAATGTGGTAACTGGCCAGTTGGCTACTCCATCTTTGGAGAGGGAGCCAAATTGCTTCCTAATTTCTTTCAGTGAAGGTACAAATCTGAGACTGCTCCCCCTGTGCTTCTGCCAGATTTATTTACTGTGGAACCTCAAGGAAATGGATACTGGTTTAGTCTGTCATGCATGGTGGTAAATCAGCAGGTTTACAAGCTCTTGATTGATAGATTAAATAATTGTGTGTGTTGTTTCCTTAAACTCTGAAATCTTAAAAATAACCTAGACGCTATTGAAGGAGTTACTAGTGATGGAGCGAGTGGTTCTAGTCAACCAAGAAGTTTTTCTTTTATCATAAAGCATGTAATACATTTAATGCTTTTTTGGCACAAATTAGTGACCGACTGCAAGAGCACTGAAGATAAAAATCTGACCTGCAGTGTACAAGTGGTTATAAAATTCCAGTTCTAACAACAGTCCTTGATCAAAGTAGTGTAGTTGCAGGGCACACTGATTAGAAGCCGAAACATTAATTACAGCTAAGGATCAAGCATACATCTTATCTATATTTAAATAAAAAGTAATAAAGAAGCAAAGATTTGTCTTACGGCAAAAGCATCCTGAATTACTACTGACAGAGCACAAAAAAGTTTATAGCACAAAGACATTTCAGTACCACATCTGGTACTGTGCTGCTCTAAGCATGAGCCCTGCTTATTTGGGAATGGTGCAAGAATAAAGGCCTACCTGAAATGAGTAGACAGCACAGGCAACCACATTTTAGATAATGCACACTACTGAGTATAACCCCCAGTAAGGAAGAGGAGGTCTGGCTTTCCCAGTAAAGGTGGCAGCTCTGCGGCCAGACAGCCCGGGAGGCATTGCTCCATCAGCTGCTGTGATTGAACTGCCGACCCTTGTACACCACCACCATGACATGTAAGAGCAGTCATATCACAAACTTCTACCTGCACTTAAGTAAAAGTTGTTTTTCAGTTGATAATCTCTGATATGGTCACTACTAGTCAAAGACTATTTCCATAAAAGACCCAAAAGAATAAAACGCCTCAGGCTGAGCAGCGGGGTAGAGGGGTAAGATCCAGGTTTGTGCCTCCTCTGATGGAAAGACAGATGCGCAGTGATCTGAGTCATCCAGCTTTAATATGTTCTGTCAGGAAACAATGGAATAAGATATGACACTTAAGGCAACACTTCTAAAAAGCAGCAAAACCACAACATGACTAGCCTGTGCAACTCATCAGCACAGTTTACCACAGCCCATTACTGGAGGATTTGGAAGGATTAGATATGTGAAATGCTAGAAATGATAGTTTCTCCATTAGAATGAAAATAAACATGTGGTATAAAGTTTCCAGCCTCACAGATGTCCCAGACCTTCAGCTGGGATGGTTCAATAGAGGCAGGATTTTCCAAAAACAGTTCCCTAGGTTGCCTTGAATTTTTATATGAAGCACCTTAGACCAGAATCTGTCAGAACTAATACACCACATCAGATGAAATGAACTAGTGCAATGAAAGCATTTATATTTAACGTAAAGCCATCTCCAGCCATTGGTAATCAAGGCCTGATCCAAAAAAAGCCTCCTCAAACCCCTAAAGAATAAGATTAATCCTTGAGATGGAGGAGTCTTTCACAAATCACAAAAGATTATTTGTACAGATGTACGTAAGTTCCATGCAAAAAATTAAGAAATACGTAGAAATTCAGGTCTAACACGTTAACTGATTCAGCCAAAGGCAATGGCAGTAACTGCAAGCTTTCTCATTTTCCTTTATTCCACCCTCCTCCCAAGTCTGCAATTATGCTGTTCCCCTTTATGTGAGACTCTGCCTTCTTCACCTATTCCTTCTGCTTTTGTTACTGACCAAACTGGCCCTGGTGTTTGAGAAACTCGGTGGAGTTTAGCTTACAGCTTCAGGAAATGACCGGGAGCCATGTTCATGCAATCTCTCAGGAATGCAGAAAGAAGAGAGAAAAAATTCTAGGATCAGGCCCACATCCCATTTTCAGGCTCTTCAACAAAAGGGAAAAAGTAAAAAAAAAAAACAAACACATTTTTTTAAATCTCTATTAAAGTAATGCATCATTGTACTCTACATGTTCTGCTTTCATACACTTGAATGGTAGAAGTCAAATGGGCTGAAGTAATGTAAAAGTCACACTGTCTGAAAAACCAGGTTCCACAGAGAAAACACTGATTGCACTTCTTAAAATATATTTCTCTTTTAGGTCACTCGTCATCACTTAGACTTCAGCTCACAAGGCCTTTAAGCTGGGTCCCATTTCTCTGTGCTGGTTAGCCTGAGCTTTGCACTCGCGGCTACAGCCTCTTGCAGCTCATCATTGAGACAGAGGTCTGAGGTTACTGTCCTCAGTAACTGCAGGCTTGTAGTACTCATGTGAGAGCTTTTTGCCTCTTGCCTTCCTCAAACCCTTCCTTGCAGGTTCAGGCAGGGACAAAGCAATGAACACATTGGAGGTTGTCACTGCTCCATGCCTCGTGCTTCTCTAATGCTGCCCAACATGCCCAAAGTGAAAACTAGCCGTTGACTGAGCCTGAAAGGCTTTTAGCTGCCATGATCTTCATTACATCCCACTAACGACTGGGAAAGGGCCCTGGCAGGGGCTGAGCGAGCGTTTGGGAGGCTCCCACGGTGAAAGCAGCAAAGCATTCAAACAAGTGTTTCGTTGTGTGTCTCAATTAAGCAGACAATATTGTGTTGTCACTGCTGTAAATATTTTAGCATGCCAAATTGTGCTGTTTTGCTTCTCACTCACGTCTGTAATAAATAATGTGAAGCATGAGCAGCTTTGCATTTTAAGTAACCTTCAGGCAATGCATCACGGAGTCCCGAGTCTGGACAGAAGTCCATCCAGTCACGTCCAACAGCGGGCAGCCTGGACAGGACACTGAAGAGCAGAGTAAGCAGGCAGGGACACGGTCCCATTACCCCAGAATAATCTGCCACCAACCTTTAGATCTGGAACTGAAAGACAGAGAGGTTGACCCCCATGGGTCTTCAGCAGTCCTTCATAGACCTTTCTTCCATGAATGTGGAAGGGCAGACCAGTGTCCTTAGTCGCTGCAGCATCCCACGGCAGCTATGAGTTTCACACATTCTAGTTCAGCAAGTAGTGGACAAACAGATGCTTATTTTATGGCAAACTCCCAGACAGACAAGGCAGTCACTACTGTCACAGGACAGCCTGGAGGGAGAGGAGGGAGACCTATTGCTGTGGTGAAAATTGGTCGTTCCCAACAGCACCTATTGCCAGTCCTGCTTCTTGTCCTTCCTTGGCATCAACAAAACCAACAAATTTTACATTTATCTTCATACCCTGTCTCATTTTCAGATGTCTCTGGCATCTGTTTTCTTCACAGGAGAAGCAGCGTGATCTTGGCCCTTCACTTGAAGGTGGCAAAATTCACCTCTGGGCATTTGCTGCTGGCAAACAGCAGTGGAGCAGAGCAGGTTGACTCACCCTATTTCAGTTTTCCTTTAAGTGAATCAGATGTCCCTGTCTCAGCAGAGCAATGCCTATGAAAAGGGTGGGAGAATAGTGTTGCTATGTGTCCCTGAGAGCTCTTGACCGCCACCACTTAGAGCTGCCCTCTCATTATACAAAATGTGGCAACAATAAGATGTTCTCAGTACAATTTCAATGATCAAAGGATTTCAGTGACCAATCTTATGCTTCTTCACTTGGTTTTGCCTACATGTATTTTGCTTGCCACATTGGCTAATGGTAAATATGACTGTTCGGGGAAAAAAATAGGTTACTCTGAATTTCAGCAAAGATAAGTAAACATAAGTTCAGCATACAGTACAAAAATGCCACTTGGACTTATTAAAATATTTCCTGGGCTCATCTTAAGCTGAAGCAGTAAGATGTATATAATGTACACTAAAGCATCTACTGGATCTTAGCTGCACTGTAAAGCAGGTGTCCAGAACTGGGAATACCAGTAGGCAATCCTGAGCTATCACCCTTTAAATTGTGATACCACCAATGGTAAGCTGATTTGAGGAAAAAAGTCAAATCCAAATTCCTGCTCTGCTGAAAGCTCTACTGGACCGTAAGGTATTCAAACAGCCTCTGATCAGGCAGGTAGTTGAGCAACCAAAAAGCTTTCTTCCACTTGAGTAAAGGATTTTATCAAATGTCTGTTGCAGGAAAGCCCTTGCTCTCTAGATAAGAAATTCTGAAATAATTTTCATATCAAACACATTCAAGTCTACTTTCTGAGGATTCTACTACTCTCCCTGACACAGAATTTTTTACTTTGCTCCTTTTTCTAGTCTAATTTCACATTCCCAACAGTTTTGAAGAAAAGTGCACAGCACATTTTTATTCATAAGTTGAAACACAAGCGTCTGGGTATGTGATGGATGGTTCAACTGGATGAACTCCAGCATGAAACTTGTTCATATCTCAGGGACTATAGCGTTGCAAGAGATGCGACCAGGAGGCTGGAACAATGTTTATTCTTTTTCTTCTCCCATTAGACTCCCAAAGGTTCCTGTCTGGAGTCAGTGAAGATTGCCATTGATACTGGTTACCGCCATATCGACGGTGCCTTTGTCTACTACAATGAGCATGAAGTGGGACAAGCCATCCGGGAGAAGATTGCTGAAGGAAGGATCAAGCGAGAAGACATTTTTTACTGTGGCAAGGTGAGAAGCTTGCACTCAGATTATTTACACTGAATCCAGGATTTCTGTGAATAGGCTTCCTTAAGAATGCTGGTGGTCAACATCTGGCATGCTTCCAGACCCAACATCCTTTATTTTTCTTCCCTAGCATTACCATAATGCCTCAGAGCTTTACGAGCACTAGGTTTGCTGTAAATCACAGAAATAACCGTTGTTCTCAGTTTAAAGCTCAGTTAGCAATGGGAACCATGCAACATCCATTCTGCCTAACATTGTAAGTACCTGCAAGTTTAGACCATTGCTACACTCAGTGCTGCTGCCTAAGCAGTTAACTGTCCTACACGTCATGCTGGCATGCACATTTATATAGTCACACGCTAGGCCTGATCTGGACAATGATCCTGCAAATGAGTTATTTTCTGTTAGAGCAATTCTCTGTACAGGTTTGCCGTGAGGTTGCACAATGAAAGTGGGGGGAGCAAGCACGTGCATGCAAGTGTCTGTGCACAGGAGAACAGCAAGTGCTTACATTGGTACTACTGCCAGAAAATTACTCATCAAGTTACACCTTTAGTTACTGTATCACCTGTCATTAAAAAGTTCTAAGATGATGAATCAGCTTACTTGAAGAAAAGATGTCATCACACTTCTTTCTAGAGCAATGAGGCTGGAGTAACACATGAGCTAGCTAATGCTTTAAAGTCTTAGCCATAAAAGTTGATTCTCTCCTAGAACAATGAAACCCCTTGTCCAATGATGCATCCTACAAAAGCTGTTACAACTACGATGACTAGATCCCAGGTATAAGCGAATGTTCATTGCACACTGCAGAATAAAGATCAGATGCCCCCAGAAAGTTCATGGTGCCTCTCCAGTTTCTAATGGAGTTTACGGCCTCAAGTTCCCCTTCCTGCAGTGCTTCTTTGGACATATCAGGCTAATATTTTCCCTTTCTCATTTCCCAAATAAGACGTAATCCACAAAAGTTACTCAACAGCCTTGTAAATAAATATCACAGTTCCTAGAGTGAAAGATCCCATGGGATAAAAGGCCCATTTCTGTGAGCAATTTAGTTAAGCTCTGTGATCTGGGAAACGAAGCTTTAGATTGGGTAGTTTGCAGACCAAGTGGATTTTTAGCAGCTATAGACCAATTTCCAAGTAAAGCAATTTCCAATCTGCAAAGTATGCAACTCTTTTCCAAGTCTCTGCTCAGTTCTGCTGGTAACAACCCTGCCATCCTGAGAAAAGCTTCGCATCCTCAAGTTTTCCACTTTTATCAGGGTAGTCTCTTGGTCTCTTATATGCCAAATATGTTGATTTATATCAGTCAAAATATTTTATTATGACTGTTTTATCATTTCATTACTGCAAATTACCAGTAATATTTCAAATCAAAAACAAAAGGCTGTGCCAAAAGGTTAGAACCAGATGTCCTAAGAATTTTGAGTCTTTAACTTTCCTAACTTCTTCCCCTGCAGTTTATTTTCCCATATAAAGCTTTAGGTTCTGCAAAAGTGCATTTCTTGGTAAAACTTTATCAGGATTCCAAACTTCATTTTTTTAAGCCTTTATATATGCAGTTGTCTGATCTAATCACTAGATGATTTTCCTAGTTGGTGATCACTACCTAAACATCGAGCCACCTGTGAAACTGCACTTGATTTCTTGATTGTAAGTTCAGTTGTTCCTTAAACTCCAGATCCTGCAAGCCTCAGGGCTGCAACTCTGAGTACCATGATCGTCAATGCCTGTGGTTCCAGCTTGCCATGTGACTCTGAGATGGGACGTGCATGCATTTATCTTTCTGTTGTATCCTGTTTGTGCTTAACAAAATTTCAGGTGCTCAGGGTGGTAGTTCATTAGAGCATCTCTGTAGTCTTTAAAGAGTGCAAAGGCAGAAGTGGAAAATAATCTGCAACCAGTTCAATACATCACAATCCAGGATTTTCACAGGTTTCACTGAACATTTTAATAACAGCTCTGAACTTCCCAGGAAGTGTGGGACTGGATGTTCCTTGTCTTATGAGCTTACGTATTTTCAGTTTTCTGTACCTTATTAACTTATGTATCTCACGAACTACAAGCAAATAGTAAGCCACCAGTAGATACCGCAGCCATTGATTGGTAACTCACTGATATGAACTGTTGCATCTTCTGGGAAACATGGTAGATGCATCAGACCATTCTTGAAGGTAGTCTGCACAACAAAAGTTGGTTTTGTTTTCAGCCTTATTGACATCAGAAGTACTGGAAATTCCTGAGACCTTTCAGATTCAAGCCCCTCATGCAGATCTTTCCTTAAACAAAGATGATGCAAATTGAAGGCTGGTCCATCAGCAGGGACTAACAAGAACATCCCTGGCAAGTGGCAGTGTTACTGGAATAGTGACTTGGTGCAATCGAGCTGCCTCTGCCAGTTGAAATAATCAGCACTTGCACTTACTTGGCTCGTGCTGCTGGCTGGCTGATCAGGCAGAGCAGCTCAGCATCCAGAAATTTTAGAGGTTTTATATCAACTGCCAACATCTCACTTGGCTTACATAGTAAGACCTTTTTGGTCTCCTCTTTCATCCCAGGATATTTCTTTCATTAAACTAGAAGTAACATTTCCAGGAAATGTGGTGGCCTGAAATGCCAAAGCCAGCTGGCAGCTTTGACTGCTCAAATGTCTACGTGGGTTCTACTTAGGTAGATAATACAATAACTTGTACAAATCACAAAAACAGTTATGAAACTCTTGAGTTTCCATGGCATCTATGTATTAACATAGTACAAATGCCTGCTATTTCTAAAGGCTGTTTCTTTAGAACCTCTGCAGTTTTTTAAAGGGAAGTATATTCACTGGCAAGTACTGAGCTAAAAGCACTGGGCTAGAAAGGGCACTTGGAAAAACTGCTTCTGAACTATCAACATATCTCAGGTTACTAAATTTCTGAAACACAGTAATGAAGCAAACTAAACACGAAGAGTATACAGACTCATTTCTCTATCTATATTTAAGTCCAAAACAACATCTCATTTTACATGTAAAATGCTTAAAAAACAGGAAATCCAGTGGAACAGCTTAAAACTCTGGGAGCAGGACCTAGGACTCTACTGTAGTACACGTCAGCCTGTGTAACCACTGTCTAGCGATCATAAACTCTTTATGCCTTGCAACTTACAGCTTGGGAAGGGGTAGTACGAATTTCCAGGTGCCCACCCCTTCTTTGATTTGTCAGCTTAGGGCAGAGTCAGGTGTGCTGCTCTCAGTACAACTGAACTTCAAGATAACTTGTCCTTGCCTCTGCAAGCCAATAGTTATCCCCTGGGAAATCAACAATCAGGTTTAAAAAAACCCAAACACCTAAAGTACTTTGCAGCTTACCCAGGCTATGTCCTTTGACACTTATGATCTTCTGAAAAGGGCAATAGAAGTGTTTTGTTTCTCAAGAACAAGTTCATTTTATACCTTGGCATGTGGTGACTGCCATGTGGTGACAGAACTGGCTAGACAATGACCATAACAACAAACAGCATGTTTTTCCAGCTAATAAAGGTGTCAAAAACCTCAACATGACTCCACATGTCAGTTTTGTGCATTGAATAAAAAAGATAAAATAGCCCAGTTTATTGTGTGCAAGCAAATGGCGCTTTAAATCTGCTATTGTGTGATAATTCTGATTTTTGTCAATTTTAACTGCAGCAACTGGTTTACAAAGAGCTCCTGGTTACTAATTACCATGCTGTGGTTTTATTCTTGCAAGAGATTTGCTTTAGCAGAGCTCAGTTAGAGAACTAAGCACACTCCATAGCAACCTCAGGGCATAACCCCACAAGGAAGCTGTTGTGATTAAAGAGGTTGAAAAGGCTGTGCTTTAACTAGTCACACCTGCATTACAGTAACTAAATGATAATATGGCTTTCATTGAGGACTGGGGAGTAAATGAAACCTTGCCTAGGTCAGGGAGGCAGTCACCGAGGCTCCACAACCACAGGAGAAAACCAAAAGATTCTCTTTGTGCTGGGTGCTTGGCTGTTCAATAGCTAATTCACATGATCTGAGCTTCTGCCTTCAAACATAAAACTGACCACAGATTTCTTGTGGGAACATAGTTTTCCAGTGAAAGCATATGCTTGGAAAACAGAAGGAATCTGCCTAAGTTCATTGAGCAAGAGTTTGCAATATACTCAACTCAGAAGGACCTGTCTTGTAATAAGCAAACATGTAATGGCTTTACTGGGTCAGCACTGGGACAGTCCTGGGCAAGGATTCCTCTCTTAACCTCTACATCTGCCTCTGGCAGAGGACAGGATAAGGCCCCTCACCTTTGTCTTGCAGTGATGTAGACCACAATATCTGTGCCATGCATAACAGGCTCTGTCAGAAGACCAAGAGGTGGGGGGGGGGGGGGGGGGGCGTGTTGTTTGCTTGAGGATGCTCACTATCCATCCTGGCACCCAAATAAGAGCCCATGCTTGCTTCCCCAGCTGTGGAGTACCTGCCACCCCCCAGAACTGGTGCGCCCCACGCTGGAGAAAACCCTGAAGATCCTGCAGCTGGACTACGTTGACCTCTACATTATTGAGCTGCCAATGGCTTTCAAGGTAAAAAGAAAAATTGCCCTAAAAAGTGCATGGTTGGCTTGAACTAAGGTCTTCATCTGGCATCCTCCTTGCAGTTTCTAGTCCATGTTGAAAACAGCACTTTGGCCTGATAATGTTTGATATATACTGCGCGCATACATTTCTCTGCATTACCCACACAAAGAGTCTTATAGGCAGTGTGAGAACAGTTACTGAGAGCTGTAGCTTGGGGTCTCTCCACTGGAAGGACAGGTCTCCTAACTGGGCTTGAACTCTTCCTGTGCTGAGGAATTACTGTAGCTGAAGTAGCACATGTGTCTTAATCCTCTCTGAGCCATGAGGAGGGAGTCACTGGAGGAAAGTGATTATACAAAGCAGTGAAGGGCTAGGGGCAAAATTTGGAGGGGGAGAGGGAAAGGGAAAAAGCCACCAAGTTGATTTCCTTACCCTGTCCCAAAACTCAAATCACTTCAGTAGTATTAAAGCCACTGGGCAAATCATGGTTATGATCTTAATTTCCTTAACTCGAGTGCTCCTCTCAGACAGCTTCAGTAGATCACATTTTGTCTCAAATACAGGTTTTCCATCTCTCACTCTCAAAAGTTAAAGCCTGATATTCCATCATACTGGTGGCTCTGGGCAACCTGTAGCCAAAACCTTTGAATGCAAGGAGCTCACATCAGAGTTGCATGCCTCCCTTGCAAGGTGCTCCTGCAAGTCCCCAAACCTTCTCATTTCAGGGCCATTTGTACCTTGCTTTACAATTTTCCTCTGCAAGTATGAAAGGCAAATTAAATAATAGTGAAATTAGAAGAATGAGTGGTTTTGAACCAATTAAATCTTTTTTCTTAGAGAAAATAGGGTCAGGCAGTTAGCTGGCTAATTGTTTCTGTGTGATGTGTAAGCTCTAAACTGGCCCCTTTTTGCAAGGAAGGTAGTTCTCTAACTATTAAAATTATATTTTACTGTGGACTCCGAACTGCCAGAAACATCAGATAGCAAGCAATTTACCAATGAAGCAATCACCTTACACCTGCCATTCCTTTTCCCCCAAGGAAGCCATACCCCATTAAGACCTGTATAGGAGTAACTGAACTCAGATATGAAAACTTTATTTATACGGTCCCACGTATGGAATCCTTTTGGGTTAATTTTAAAAAACTTCCCACCACTTGCAATTTCCTGTTTCCCTTTGCTTGTGTTTGTATTCTCTAGTAGTTAATTCTCCCACATAGTGAAGGTCATTGTCTCACAATATAAAGATATAGACAGATGGCTTAAAGTAACGTACATCTGACTCCCTGAGGCCTATATCAACAATCTGCGTTGTTAAAGGAGTAGCAGTCCTGCAGAGTCAGTCATGTCTCCCTTGAGAAGAGAGAGGACAGAAGTCACTTTCTGCCTGATTTTTTTTTTTTTCCGTGCCAAATCCAAAATGAAAGAAACCCACCCTTTTTCAATGGTGACAGGTTTCCTTTCTTTGTGCTCTCTCTCACAAATACACCCATCCCACAGGCAGTGCTTGCCTTTGGTCAGGAGCATGCAGGTGTAACGCCAAAGAACTTCTACTCTACCCTAGTCTGCAAAAGTTCGTGCTTTCCTGTCTCCCCAAAAGCCTTCTAGAAAAACTAGTATTTGCTTGGAAATCAGTGAAGAATTTGAGACAAAACTTACAGTCCTGCTCTGAAACCAGCAGGAGAGATGCCTCTGCAGGGCCCAGCAGTGCAAGCTCCCACAGGGGCTTTAGGTAGAGTCAGAGGAATCAGTTTTCAGAGAGCACCACTCAGAGGAGGAATGCCCCACCACGCCAGCACTTTTGGGTGGATCAGGAATAACTGGCATCAGGGGTGGCATTATTCACTGACCTACCAACATCAGCCCGCACCTCCCTGTATTTTTCCCTTCATGCAGATTCCCCACTCAGGACTTTTGTCCTTCCTCCCTTTGGCTCAGTGGTGGTGCTCAGCCACTCTGCCCTAGCAAGGCAGATGACCAGCAGGAACAGATTTCCTCCAGGCCACCGTGTGCCCTCTGCCTGGGGACTCATACCCACTGGCAGGTTTTCCAGGGGGTTCTGCTCCAGCGACTGAACCATCAGTAAGCAGGTACCTGTGCACTAAATTATCTCCAAGTCCCTCCTAAACAAATTAGTCTATGATCTAGCAGGAAAACAGGTATTTTAACCTTATAGTGAACAAGTCTCAGACGAGTATCTTCTTGTCATTTTTAAGAGAATAAATCGAAACAAACCAATGGCCTCACTCTTTGACTTCTTATTGCCTTGTGTTTATGCAATAGGCATTCACAAGTTGTTAAAATTGCTCTCTTGAGAAAGCCCTCTTGTCAAAGACCATTTTGTGAAAATGATGGGATGTGCAGATCTGTCTTCCTGCGTCTGTGTTGGTGAAGAAATTATTATAATGGGAGCAGGGCTTTTCCTCTCAGTGGTTACCAACTGCTGTGTTTTAAATATGCAAGTAAGTAGTCTGGTAGCTTTTGGAGTGCCTCCCGACTTTGAACATGACAAGATATGATGCAAGCCCTGCATACATAGCATCAGTGACTGTATGGTGTTGTCCTACTTATTTCAGTGCTTATACAGCAGCATGGCAGGAAGCCACCTCATGGTCAGTCTAAGGTGCACAGCTGTCTCTAAGAGAACTACAAGAAAAGACAACAGCTTTTGTGGGAATGACTGGTGCAGCGTGGTCCATGAGAACCCAAAGCTGAGAAATGTGACCAACTTCTGAAAGACCTTTTCAAAGACCTAGTAACCACCATCCTTGTCACCATCAAAACACTGCCTTTTCCTCAGCCCTTTATCCCTCTCTTTCCATCCACAAACAGTTCCTCCATTCAGGAACTCCCTTGCATAAGAAAGGTAGCTTAGTGGAGAAAGTATTGCCTGGAGACTATTAAACAGAGACAACTGTACTTCAATACCTTGTGCAGTTTCCTGGAGGCAGGAGGAAGAATTGAGCCTTGTGGAAATCCACAATAGCTGGCACCACGTATCTCAGTCAAGTTCATCTTCAAGCCCCATTCATCCTAACTTTATGTGTTTTTTAGAACACAAGTGGTAGAAATAGAAGAAAATAGGGGGTTGATAAATTAGCTAATGTAATTGTTCTATATTGACTACTATAAAAAGTAATGTTGAACAGAAGCTAATTAATTAGAAGTGGAACAGAATAGAAAGGTCTTGAGTTCAGACTCATCCCTTGAACTCAAAGAAGTCCAACTGCTATACGTTGAGCTTGCAGTTCTTGGAGAATCTGCTGGGATATTATGGGGATGAATGGTTTGTTCCAAAATACCATAGAGTGGTTTTGTAAACAGGGCTTCTCCACCCCAAGTTATGATGGCAAACAGTTTACTTTCTAATAGAAAAATGTACCAAACAGACACCTACCTCCTTCTAGTCAAGATTTTTTTTTCAGCAAGACATCAGCAACAAAGGCAACAAGTCGTCTTTGTGGAATTCATTGAGGAAAACCAGCACATTTGGAGAAGACAGGCTTAAGCCTGTAACTTAGACCTCAGCCTCTGAAATCTGAGGCTGTGTTTTCATTAGGCTCACTTTTCCCACGAAATGCCTTGAATTTGAACTTCTGTACTGAATTGGGAGGTGCCAGTTACTGATCATATTAGTCACAGTGGCATGTTCCCCAGAAGTTACCCTGTCAACATCTTGTACCCAGGCCTTTGAAGTGTAGCAGTTTGCAGTCAGATCAAGTGTCAAATACTACTGAAGGGTTTTTATGAAAAAAAAGGGAAATTGCTATCAGACAAAAAGGAGGGAGGTGTTAATGCATTGCCTGAAACAGCAGTGAAATGATGGGCAAATAAGAAAAAGCTGAGCTTGTGAGATACCAGCTTATAACACATCCCTGAAGTCTTGTTCATGGGGTATAGAGATGAGAAGAAAAGTGTTCCTAGTGCCCAAAGTGGATAATGCACTTAAGAGGCTCAACAGCCTGTACTGTAGCTATACATGTAGCCCTTTACAAGTAGGTCTTGGAAACAGTCCCTCCAACTGCTGGGAGCTGGTACTCTTCCCAGGTGCCTAGGACACAAGCAGGATCAGGGGAAGGGCTGGGAAGAAAGGAAGGAAGAAGTGGAAGAGAATACAGGTTGGTACTGTAACCCAGGCCTTTGGAAGGAAACTAGTCCTTTGGATGCCATAATGTTAAGGTCAAAAGTTTATTGAAAAACAAGGCCATACAGGAACTCCTGAGTGTGCACTCATGTGATAGTTGAGAAGTGTATCCAAGGACAATCTAGCAGTGGAGGATGTGGTAAACCCAGCATGAATGACCTGTTGAACTTATAGTGTTTCAGAAAGCTTTTGGATTTTTTTGTTTGTTTGTTTGCTAGCAGAAACAGAGCCTGTGGAAAAATCTTTGCTCCGAGGAGTGAAAATTTTTCATCAAAGCACATAAGTGTGGTTTTACTTTTCAGCCTGGAGATGCAATCTACCCAAAAGATGAAAATGGAAAAATTATCTACCATGAGACAGACTTATGTGCCACTTGGGAGGTAAGCAAACACAACATCCATCTATATATGCTTTAAAAACACAGATCCTCATTCTCCCTTTTACTTGTGGCCTTCACAAACAGAGCTGAGGCATATTGACAGGGGAAATGGATCGAATTCTACTAACACCATGGAGCTAAATTTTACTAAGGTCCCTAAGGATGTTGCTTCATGCCATCACTTAATTATTTTTATAACAAAATAAAACACTGTTGAAATATCTGACATCCACATTCCTTCTTTCAGAGAGTGCACTCTACATTTTCTAGTTGAGGTATCTGTAGGTTTTTACCAGTCTCTCCTCTTTAACAGATCTTTACAGCAGGAGAAAGTTGGAGGCCTAAGAAGTGACTGGATCCTTCTCAAAAAAAAAAAGGAAGCTTTTCACCTTCAAGTTAAAACAGAATTTGCCCTAAAGGTCACCGTAAAGAAAAAAAAACACCACAAAAAAAACCAAAAAACCAAACCTTTCCTATCAGAACAAGTTCACTCAGTTCTAAATTGAATTATCTGATGAGAATGCAGAGTTCTTCTGTTAAGGAAACTTGGAGGGAGGTAGCATTCGCCTGAAAGATTGCATCCTAAATTTATTTGTGATGTGCTCTAGTACTATAGCCAGATATCTCCTAAAGCCTACTGTCACTTGACTTCAGGATCTCAGGCAAGGCAGAAAGTGAGATGAGCATCTCTTCATGTTCCTGCCTTTCAAAGCCTTGGACGCTCCAATTCATGGGCAAAGCTGGTCAGCTCTCCTTCTGCACCAGGTCTACTGCAAAAGCATCATTAACCCAGCCCACTTCACACCAAGAGAGATAACATGGGTGCTACTGCACACTCAACTTCATCTTGCACTGTCAAGAGCTGGATAATCATGTCCCAATTAGCTCTGCTCAAGGTGCAGCAGACAAAGATGGAGAATGGGTGAAATTCTGAGTAGGAGAGAGCCTGGGGCAGGCTTGGGCTTTCCCCGGTCAACTGAGCCATCCAGATTGGGTCTGAGGGGGAACAGGGACTTCCACGTTAGCTGTTTCTGTTACTCTAGTCTTTGGCTGATGCAGTTCATTCCTCTCTTTCACAGTCTAGTTGCTCAAACGTTAAAAGCAACAGCTGTCCGAACACTTATGTTTTTATCTTCAAGCTGCTGTTTATTGTAAAGGATATATTGTAGCAGGTCACTCTCTTCAGCTAATAAGCCAAGAGAAAAATAGGTGGCAGTGGGTGTCTGCAAAAAATATCATCAATCTAAATGAAACCGTCTAACCTCAATCCAGATAATTTCACTCTCTCAGTAGCGTGCTAGCAGGCAGAAATGGCTCCAGATGACGGTATTTGCTGACTTGTCACTGAGTGATACAAAGCATATGAGGCCAGCTAGAGGTCATCAAATACATGGTGCCTCTTACCTCCCTGCTTGCAGCTCCTGTGAGACAAAAGAATAACAAAACCGGCAGGAGGGGCATTCAGCTCCATGGTGGGGTCTGCTCTGCCTCAAACAGCCACTGAATCATGTGTGTGCACTTTCTGGCAGCAAAGGGGAAGACTGTAGGAAAGGATGCTCCTTCCCCTTAACAAGCCAGCAGATCAAGCTAATGAAGACCAGGGAACTTATTCATATCTAGTATTCATAAGGCTTTCTCAGCTATTAGGATTTGTCTGAAGTGCAGAATATCTAGAATTCTTCTCTCTCCCCTTTTTTTGCCTATTTTATACTATACTAAAGTTTTCTGTGCTGGTTTGGTGATGTGCCTTGCCAGATACTTAGGGGATTTCGTGGGATAGAGACTTCATACAAAAAACTCTCATACAATCAAAAGGAATAAATTGACTCATCAGGAAAGCAATCTGTTTTGTTCATTCTCCCTTTTCCAGCTTTGAGGCAGTGCTAAAGCAGCGTAAAGTAAGCAAAACTCTTTGAAAGCAGATGTCTGGCACTTGTATATCTATATCGCAGATTAATCTTTCTGCTCTTCAGACAAATTCTACCTTCACAGGAGGGTTTGGTCTGAAAAGCAGGTCTACGCAGGAATGGAGTTTAGAATAGCAGAATGGCACCAGCCTTCATGCTAGTAGAGCTGTTAGTTTTGCTGCAACAAAGGTTTTTCTGCAATCTCAGGAATGGACTATCTTCCACCTTCCTCTAAAATGCATGCTCCAAGGAATCAAGCCAACATGTGGGACTCCACTGGTCTTTGCTTTCTTTGCAGGCTATGGAAGCATGTAAAGATGCAGGCTTGGCAAAGTCTATTGGAGTATCTAATTTCAACCGCAGGCAGCTGGAGATGATCCTGAACAAGCCAGGACTTAAATACAAACCTGTCAGCAACCAGGTATGAGTGCAAGCCGAGAGCAGTTCCTGCCACGGTGCCACTGCCCTGCAGGGAATGAAGAGGCAACACGTGGCCCAAGCCACCATGTGCAGAAGGGTGACGTACACTTTGCCACAGATGCTGCCCTTTACACTGTCACACATCCATTTCTAGCTTGAAAATATTACTCATCCTATCTAGGCTAAAGATAAATATTTGAAGATGTTGGAACGATTGCTCTCCTCAGTTCCTGCTCCAGGATTATAAAAGTGGTGCCTCTGTGCCAAGCTCTGTAACAAGACTGAATGCTGAGTCAATTCAGGTCTTAAATCTCTGCCATGTACCTTACTTCAAGTCCAAAAAATTCCCAAGACAAACCACTCAGGGCTAACCCATCCTCAGTGAAGCCATGTCTACCTCAGCTGACACCAAACCAAAACAACCCTAAGTATCAGGGTTCCTGAGTCACTCTAAGCTTCCCAAGTTTAAAAGCCATTAGAAGTAACTCCTAAATTTCCTCTACTTGCTCTCTGGTACCTTTCCTATAAGACATCAGTAAGAGTTACAGGAAAACCTAAATTAAAGAGGAGACCCCATTAAGCAACCAACTTGAGCTTAACAAGCCCGTGAAGACGATAGGCATGTCTGAGTTAAATCACAGTAGCAGGGCTCAGAGAAGGCGGTAAGTGTCAGTAACCCCTCTGAATGCCCAGTACCTCCAACTCTGGCATTTGGCAGCTCACTGCATTTCCTAGAAGTCACTGGGAAGCTCTTCTGACTCATCTGGTACAAATGAATACCCAAAATAGCAGTATCAGAGAAGAGGCCAGAGACCAGTTGGGACCAACTTCCTACCCTCTACACATGGCCTGGGGGGCTGCAGCCAAAGCCTTCATTTCTGCCTTTGGCCTGCAGGGAAAGGCAGCTTGTGAGACAAGGAAATTCCAGCACCCTTCACTAGTATTAACATGCCTAGCGGGTGCAAAATGCAATTGGTGTTTCTGGAGTGCCCCAAGACTGCACTGAGCATTGCTGCTGCTTCCTGGGGTTGAGGAGAAGTGGGCAAAAGATTAAGCTCAGTTTAGGGCAGCTAGTGAGCAAGCATAGATGTAGCTTCAGACTGCCTGCAAACTGTGGTCACCTCGTAGACAACCCTTTCCTAAAGGCTAAGAACACAGCCAGAAAATCCCTGTCTGTAAGGGAATGATACACAGTATTTGCAATCTAGAAGGTCAGAGCTTGTAACAAGGTCATAACCATTATGGAAATGTCTCACCTTTTACATATTCCCCCTTCACCTTTCTATCTGGGACACCTTATGCCAACACTTCTGCTAAAAACAACATCAGATTAGTCAGCCTGAATGCAAGAGGCAGAGAAACAAAGATCTGACCCACATGAGATGAGTTGCCTTCTCAGTCTACTTCCCTAGTAAGTTTCCCTCACCTCTATCCCCTCCCCCCCCACCTCATTGCCACCTTTCCACCGGTGGCCAATAAAGACTCCCTGCAGACAAACTATAATCACAGATGTAGATCTGCTGTCCACCAAAAAAAAAAAAAAATCCTTCACCCAGCAATGTACAATTAGAAAAGTGACCACAGATTGAGTTTCCCTATTCCCTGATTTACATGTATCATTTCCTGAAAGTATCACCTGGTCTGTAGCTCTCACAAATATTGGGACACCATCTGCTTCTCTATCTGGTCCTGTTGATTAATCATTCTTTCTATGTTACTCTTGTAGGTTGAATGCCATCCCTACTTCACCCAACCCAAACTCTTAGAATATTGCAGACAACACGACATTGTTATTGTTGGGTACAGCCCCTTGGGAACCTCAAGGGATGAAACATGGTAAGTCCCCATGTTACTTTCTAATAGCAGGGCCACTATCTAGGAAAAGAGTAATAGTTCTCCACTGCTGGGTCTCTGCAAAATAACTTTGCCCCCATTTTTCAAAGTAGTTTTGAACTTCAGTATCTAAATATTACTGTTATGAATGTAAACTTGCAACACTTCTGCTGCACGCTGTCATCAAGAAATGCCAGGTGTCTGTATATAAGGTCACCTTAGGTCTCCTCTAACAGAAGGCAAGTGTCTGTAACTGGGAATGCAGTGAGGAAGCAGAAACTAAGTCAACATTAGAACATCACATACGAAGCTCCCTTTGACAGTCCACTAACCTAAATGCCAAAGCTTTTCCCTCATCTTTCGCACTACTTATCAAAAAAGTTGCAGTCTGTCCACAAACAAGTATGTGTTGCTATGTTTTGACATTAAAGATAAGGGAGGTTTTTTTGTTTTCTTTTTGTCCCCAATTTTCTTCCAGGGTAAATGTGTCCTCCCCTCCTTTACTGAAGGACTCTGTGCTGAATGCCATTGGCAAAAAGTACAACAAGACAGCTGCACAGGTTGCTTTGCGTTTCAACATCCAGCGAGGGGTGGTGGTCATCCCAAAAAGTTTCAACCCACAACGCATCAGAGAGAATTTTCAGGTAAGTTTGTACCTTAACGGTGCATGGATGAATCCACTTACATGGGCTTGGCCCTACAGAAAGTGATTTTCCCATTTCTTTTTGTAAACACAAGGCTTCACCAATGTCGGGGTTTGCCACTTTTCATGCTTTTTGTCCCCATTACTTAATGGTACTATGATATGACAAAAATAGAGCAGAGTAGAGAGGAAATTTCAGTGTCATCCAACCCTCTGGACTGGCTAAAGTTCCAGCTGCTGGGATCCCAGTTGCAGCAGTGAGAAGCACAAGTGAGGTGAAGTAATTTGGTAGGTCAGCAGCCCAAGGTTGCTGGCTATCCGTGTTTGGGAATTACTTGTTCTGCCCAGTCTTCAGGTATGGGGCAACTTTGTTAAGGAAGGGTTGTTGCATACAGATGTCCCAGAAAGGCTCACAACCACACAACCAGAAAGCATCTGGCTTGACCATCACACCCAAGTAAGATGAAGCATTTGCTCCTGTGTCCCTTGCAACACTAAGTACCTACGCTGCTCCCCACTTTCCCTGCCAATGTATTGCTTCCAAAGCTGGTGGACCAGTACTTGCCAGACTACCTTCCCTTATTGCAAGAAAGCATAAGCAAATGTGACTAGACTTATTAATGTCCTGAAGACTTTCATATAAATGCAAGCAAGTATGGATTTGTGGGGAAGACAGCAGTGGGGAGGGGGGAAATGGGACTTCTGAAATCTGGAACATATGAATGTTGACAGTGTCAAGAAATGCTGACTTACTCCTAACATCTCCTTCCATTAGATCTTTGACTTCTCCCTCACCGAGAAAGAGATGAAAGAAATTGAAGCCCTGAACAAAAACGTTCGTTATGTGGAACTGTTAATGTAAGTCCAGGAGGAATCCTAGATCATCACTGAACATTCCTGTCTTTTCAGGGGATTTTAAAACATAAAACTTCATTTTAATTTTTTTTTTTTTTATAGACAACCTTATTTTAAAGTAAGGCTAAAATATGGGAAGTCTTTAATGAAGCCTGAATATGCTCCTGGACCCATTGCAAAAATAAGGGTGCAATATTTGCTTACAGCTCAGAAGTCAAAAGCCCACCTAGTAGAAAGTTACTGTATCTGGCTATTCCATCTCTGCTCCATCTCCTTAAATACTTTCTGCTATAATGATGGTCTGATGGTCTCAGCCACACACCAGGTGTAGCATTGCCCCTGTCTAGCAATGTGGATATCAGAGCTGAAATTCAAACAGGAGTGCTTTCTTGTCTTTCCCCTCCTTCCAACAACAGGCAAGCCATGTTCCTGCTCAAGTGCAATGGCTTATGGATCATAAACCCAGTGTTTCCAGAAGCAACTTGTCCTAAATTGCCATGTGGAAGGTTAAGAATTAAGAGCACTGCTACATGAAACCACAGGGCTTAACGAGGGCTCTGCTCCTTCTCACTTAATACTTTGGTCAGAACATAAAAATTTGCCTTCCCAACTTCCTCATAAAAAGATGATACATCTTAGTGACCGCAAGTGGTCAGAAACTTTGTTTTGGCCTTTCCTTTCACACTGTCTTCTTCAGCAGTCTTCCTCTCCCGCATTCAGTTGTACCTTCCTGTATGGAATGCAGAAAACCATGCAGCTTGTTTGACTACTAGATGACTTCTTAATTACCTCTTCTGAGAGCTAACAAGGCTTTATCTCATGCTGCTTGTAATCTCAAGCTTATGACCTAGTGTAGTTTTACCTCATCTGAAGGCTGCACTACCCCAGAAGGCTCAGACTGACCCAATATCTCTTCCTGAAAATGAGGCCATTTGTTTTTCCTTCAACTTAGGAGCGTGTACAGTTTGTGGCCCAACTTCACACTTTCCCCTTTGCAGGGCAGTCAACATGTAGCCAAATGCTAGAGATTAATTTCCATTCATTTCTCTTGTTACCTTGGATTATCTTTGTCTTGCCAAATTGTAGTGCACACAAGCACTAAAAACAATGAGAAGCAGGGGCTTTATAGCACTCTAAAACATTGACTTTTGCTCAAAAGTTGGGGGAACGTTGCAAAGAAACAAATAAACCACTTACTGTGCTGCATAGATATGACAAGAAACATGAACTAAGTTAAAAACATCATAATGACATCCATCTTTCACATTTAAGCTCAGGCAGGTGCTCTGAAGCTTTAGTTTCTTAAAGCTTCAAATAGCTTCCCATCAATTAGCAGCCCTTAGTTACAGAAGGCTTCTCACAAATGGCCTAGCAGATTCTTACATGTGTTTTAGTATTTGAAATTGTTTGGGTTTTCATAGCTAAATTGAGCATTACATCATTTAAACTTTTAGTGAGTATATACATGAAACCTTTGTGCAAATACAAGTGTCTTTTCCAGAAGCAAAGTTAAAGGATGCAAATGCCCCAGGAGAACTTTCTAAACCACTGATCCAAAAACTAACAAATTTAATGTTTTGCTTTAGTACACTAAATTTGGTCACTGGAGGCCACCGAGGACAAGGAAAACAGGATGCATAGGATGGACATTGCCAGCACTATTTTTCACAGGAGTGCCATGTTTGGGGAAAATGCTTAAATACAGTCTGACTTAAGCTATGAAAAATGCTTTCTTGGAAAAGTGATGTTGCCGTGTAAGGAGCAGCAAAACATGTGTCTGTCTACTATGTGTTCTCACCCTGAAGTGTCTGAAATTGACACTGCAACAGATGAATTACCAGCCTAAAGAGAATTCTTATTTCATCCAGCAATATGTATCTGAAAAAGTGAAACCATCATACAAGACAGACTTTTGGTTAGTCAGCTTTGTGCAAAACCTTCTACTGCCGTGATGCAAATGCCAGAAGGAGTGGAAAAAAACAGCTTTCCTCTGGCTCTTCCAGTTATCAGCTACTATGGGTAGTGTGTGTAAATCTGTTGTTCTGATGGTGTGAGTAAGCCCACGTGAACAGGATATTGCCATCAGTGGAATGAGTTAGCAAGTTAAGTATCTGAGCAGAAAATCGAGGTTTTGTAAAAATTAGTACTCTACAAAATCTCAGTCTGGAATGACTTGGAGAAAATCAGAAGTAGTGTGCTGGGCAAGTTTTACATTAATCTGTCTGCCTGATTTATCTTATGCTCCCAGTTTCTGCTATGGGTATTCTTCCTTACCAGTTATTCCAAGCTGCATTGACTCCTCTGAGTGAGTCATATTCAGTCAAAGAACTCAGACCTTTGAACATGCAAGATGTGATTAGCAATCATTCTCCATAGATGGAAAGTAGAGATTATGACACTGGCAACTCAGACATTGTCAAATTATACTGAAACCAAACAAGCCAAAGTGTTGTGGCTTGTTTTTTTTGAACCAACTCAATCTGTTAATGTGTAAACACTTCAGCTTGGCTGAATATTGGAATGAAATGTTTTGACACAACCAATTCAAAATGTTTGATGCCTTCCAGTTAGTTAACTTCAATATTGTGAAATGTATCGTTCCCAAATTGGAAGAATTCACAGCTGGGATAAATGCAAGCATTTGTTGTGCTCTGCTGTAAGGCAAGGCAACCAGCTGCCATGGCGCACCTGAGAATGTTATTCACAAATTTTTTATTTTGCTAATGGAAAGCATTTGTCAGGCCAAGGCATGTTGTTTAGCATCATTTTTGCAAACAAGAAAACCCACAACAAAAAACCAAGTACCTCTCTCAAGTCTGTCAACAATGACCACTTATTTTTTCACCTGCAGTTGTCCCTGGGAATTTTCTTCTTGCCTTTTGTAATGATTCTGCATCTTCCCCAAGCATGCAGTTTTTAAAATGGAGCCTGAAGCATCTCTGCCTTTGTTAGTATGCAACCATGAACAGCCTTTTCTCCCCTGAACTGGGTCACCCCAAAGCTTCTTTGTAAATTCTCTGCCGCTGGTGCTATTAACCTGGCGGCGCATCTACATCTAGGCTGAGCTAGAGGACAGCCAGACCTAGTCTGGATACGGCAGCCATTTGGAGAAAGCACCATACCAGACTCAGACCTGTTCATGCCGCCTCTAGGTGCATAAGCCAAAGTACAGTCTGGTGACTCCATCTCTCCTTTCAAATATAGCCCTTGTTTCTGAGGGTCTTTCTAGACATCTGAACAAAGTAGTATTCCCCTTCCACAACGCACACATAGTGAAGCTATCCTCCTTCCCTCTAACACTTATACTAACCCAAGTTAAATCTGCAAATATAGCAAGAATAGCCAACATCCAAACTCCTGTTAGTTCTTCCCCTCTGTCTTTAAGGCATGCAGTCTGTAGGCCTGAAAAATGGTCCTTCACTGTCCTCTTCTTAAATGCACAGGTTTGCTTCCAGCTATGCAGGGAAAATTATTCAGAGCAGACAGCTTCTGAGTAAGCAGAAGTGCTTTCCATGAAGGCCACCTATGTATTGCAATGAAGAGAAGAGTTTTGCTAGGCACACAATGACTGCATCAGTGATGTGATATCTTGCTTCACCTGAGAAGCTCACTTGTTCAATCTGACCTATCCACAGGTGGCGTGACCATCCAGAGTATCCCTTCAACGACGAATACTGAAAACAAGGTGTGTCCAGGCAGGTTCCTAACTCAGTGCCATCAGGCTTCACTGAAAGAGATCCAACATTTGGTGCTTTGACTTCATGGGAGACTGTTCAAATCAGCATTAAAAACATGACGTTTACTTCCTCTTGTCTTGTCGGTCTCTTATTGCTACTGGAGAGCAAATCTATTTAACATTGAATCTCTGGTTTTGGCTTAGGAGGATTTAACTCTGAGCATTGAAGCTTCAGAGCTGACAGCTGATAAAATCAAAGATATCTCTTGAAAACAAGCTCACTAGCTCAAGCCAAATAATTTTTTCACTCAGTGGCATTCTTCACTGAATTTGAAACAAGAAGTTCTGCTGCAGTAAATGTGAAGCAGTATCATTTTGTTTCACAGCTCAAATGAGAGAAAGTTAGGAGTGGGGAACTAACTGGATTTGAGATTATACACATACATGTACTGATATATATAGATAGATAGATATATTCTCTGCTTCCTGCAGTGGAGTCAGTTTCACCCTGACCAGCATATTCTTCAGCTGCATACATGAGCCACATTCCATAGGTACATCCCAGCTGGCTCTACATATAACTAGTTCAAGCCCTAAAGCATTATAAGCATGTTCATACGCCCCCCACCTCAGCTGAGGCCCTCAGTGAAACACAGGAGAGACTATGACTATTGCATCCATACTTGACCTGCTAAGCAACACTATGCAATGCCATCCCTGCATATGCAACCTGGAGCTAGCACTAGTGAGAGCCTCATCTCACAAGAATACAAGTCCCTTAACCTTCTTTCCTGCTCTGCAAACCGGTTCACCCAATAAAATTTCCATTTACTTCAAAATTCTTAGTCTTTTGTGTGAAGTTCTGACCAGGACAATAGTGAATTAGGAAGCTAATTTTTAAAGGAGAATAAAATAGTATTTTGTTAAATACCCCTTTGTACTGTGCTTTGAGGCTGGAAAACACTGGCAGGTCCAAGTAAGGGATAGGAATCAGGCAGAAGGAACTGGACTGAAACCTGGACGTGTCCTTCAATCTGTCCTGAGCTCTCTTAAGCATGGGGACAGAAGCATGGACACCAGAGCAAGAATGACTAACTCCTTCAGCATGAGTTTCTTTTTTCAGAGGACTTGTTTGCTCAAGAAGTTTTGCAGCCTATACCCACATCTGCAGAAGGCTACTTTCCCTCCCTCTGGTGCCAAAGCACTCCAGTTTCCTGCCACAGAAGGGGTACACTAGAGGGGTATTGGAGAAGAAACTAAACCATACTCAGAGAGAGTACTTCATGTACTAAAACATGCATGCTGCCATTGGAAAATGGGTCATACATAATTTTCAGTCTATAGCATCTGCTTTTATTTATTAACATTGATATTTATTATCCTCAAAGTGACTGAAACAGAAAACACCAGAGTGTACAGTTCATGGAGACACTTCTGTTGGGCCAGGGGGGGCTCCTCAGAGCTGAGGCAGAGAAGTACAGGGGTGACCATTTCACAAGAGGCACAGGCAAGGCCCCTAAAGGGATATAGTGCCAACACAACCCTGGATGAGCTCAGTAGGCACCACTAGATAGGCACCTTCACTGGGACAGAAGGGTGGTGTTCACATAGCATTGATAAATCCATTTATAAAGCTGTGTCAATTAAGGAGCATTCTGCTTGCTGGAGGTTACCCAAGGGCAATTTCCATTTTATTCTATTATCCACTTAGATCAGAGCAGGAAAGAAAAAGAGGCAGGGGAGGTATAGTTGAGGAGAAAGACAACACATTCGAAGCCTGATGGTATAGATCTACAGACAATCCCAAGGCCAGATGGAGCTCTGCTCCCCAGGGGGTGGTCAGAACCACTATCACAACACTGCTTTGGCCCTTTGCAAGCAGATGAGGGCCTGGCCAAAAACCTGATCAAAATCCACATCTAAGTAGAAGTGCCAGAGAGAAACACAGTAACCACCATACCCAATGTGTTATTGGAGTTGCTTCATAATTATAAGCCTTAATAGAACTGTAAGGACTCAACTACTTAGCAGCACTGTACAAATTTTTGCACTATAACTTGACCAGGTGCAGGTCTCCAGCCATGGCCAATGTTCAGGCCGGATTTGGCAAAGCTCTTGTTTTCTACACTGCAGATGTCAACTAATGCTCAACTTAAATGCTCACACCAGACTCTTCACAGCTATCAGCTCTTTCCAGACGTACTCCCCAGAGATTAGGCAGTGCCTGAGGTTCTAATAAATCAGAGTCCCTTTGTCTGACCTTGTACATGCGAGTAAGAAAGACAATCCTCATTATAGGGCATTTCTTGTTAGAGAAGTCTCCAATCTGCACTGAGTTAACAGATTGTGAGAGTTCCTCCAGCCCAAGGCATGACAGCAAATCCCTTCTCCCCCCCCCCGTCTAATTTTCATAGAACCCTCCTCCCCCTTTGCATTGCCTCACTTGAATCTGATGAAAGAGATTCAGCCTCTTCCCAGGGTCAAATGCTCCCATATTCATTCCCATCAGTTATAAAACTGCTACTGACGTCTAGCCTAGTTTTTCACCCCGCTTTGCTCAGTTTCAGATCATTGCTCCCCATTGTTCTCCATCTTGCCCTACAAAGAAAAGGTTTAGAGAATGGAAAATAAAAAGGGCTGCAGATGGGGGCTTGGGAAACACATTCCACCAGCAACTACACAAAGAGATAGAGAAAACCCAAACCCAGCCCCATGTACAATCTTCTCACGTCTAGCAAATTTCAGAAGCTTATTGAATTCACTGCCTGGTGCAAAACACGTCGCCTGGAAGCGCTGCATACAGCCCTGCTCCAACTGGAATGGTCAGGCATGGGCAGAAGGGGGTCCACACCTCCTGCTCTGATAGCAATCACTTGTGACAAAGATAGACCCAAATATGTACCAGGAAAACTTACTCACTCTTACCAAAAAGTAACCCAAGTATTTTGTGACTCTTCCTGTAGCTGCAAAGTGAAATGAAATCCAGACCAAAGAAGTTTGCTTCAACTATGCACAAGGGACTTTATGGGAACAAAAAGAACAAGTGATGTGGTATTTTAGTCTTTTTGTAGCCTAAGAGTTGCTCTGGTCTGGCCAGCAGAAAACCAGGTGATATGCTCATGTCCACAGCAGCAAAGCAGTTTCCACATCTGTACATTAGAGCATTGGCTTACCTGGCTTTTTGAGGAAGAAACATTCCCTCTTATTACACAAACTGAGGGCAGAGGACAAGACTTCGAGCTGCAGTAGCTGGGCCCTTCCCTGGGCATGTGCATGTTCATGTTTAATAGGTGAAGCAGCAAGGAAGCCGTGTTGAGCAGTTATTGTGCAACATGCTGACATTACTTCTAACCTGCACTATGTGGTTAGTTGAATTTGTTCCCCCACAGGGAGGCAGAGCTTCACCTTCCCCAGGACTAAGTATCTGGAATAGAACTCTTTCAGAAGGGACAAGCATGCCATTTTCCCTGATGTTGTGCAGATGCCTGCAAGAAGAATAGTAAGCGGCAAAGGGGGATGGGCCCCATGTACATTTTACATCCTTAAATTAAAGAATGCCCTTTGGATTCATACCACACATTTCTGTACCACAAAGCTCTCAAGAGGTTTAACAAAGGTATATGATGTGTCCTGTGGAGGAAAGGGCGAGGAGCCATACCAAGCCATCAGCCAGAATTAGGACACTATTTTACATAGGCAGAACTGGACACAGTGGAAGGGAAGGCAATACCTCCCATAGTTTTCATCCCTTGCCTGCCATTAAGGCTGAAGTGCCACAGAGCTGGGTGCTCTGCAGAGAAAATGAGATCTCTCTTCTCCTGGCCAAAGTGTAATGATAACTGAAGACAGAAAGTGAGTTTTGCAAACAGTCAGAGAGGATGGGAAGCCACCTAAGACAAAGCCTTTGGTTACGTATAGCAGTGTCCTCACCTGATGAGGCTTCTCTACTTCATTCCTTTTTTGACTCCAATAAACCCCAAAAGCTGCTCACCTCCAGACTGGCAGAATATTTAACAACTACCATATCCTTGGGACACACAAAGGAATTCAACAGCAGAGAGGCTGCTATCTTCCTTGACTAGTTAATATCACCTCATAACCAGAATCAGTCGATTCTTCAATTTAGTGTTGTAGGGACCCTGAGAAAAGAAAACACATGCCGGGGATATGTAAGACATCTCTCAAATCTCTGCAGTAAGCAGAGAGGACAAACTCAGATCCCTCAAGTACAGTAAGTCCAATTTATGAATTTAAGATGCGATACCACTTTACTCACAGTGAGTAGCACAGAAGCGTCCTTGTTGCCATCCACCAAACTTCTGAAATTAATTGGATTGGTATTTGCAAGACAACTCCCCTGTTTTCTGGGGGAGAGGAAGGGAGGGAGCTGCTGTTTCCAGACCTATTTTGCCCAGCTTTCAACAGGACACAATTCATACATCTAGAGGAAAGCACTGAGGTGGAGAAGAAATTCCGTAAGAGAGTGACATGTTAGAATGAGATTCAACATGCTTATTTCACTTGTGACCTAAACTGCAAACACATTTGCCTCTGGGCACGGGGTAATCAGCACACAGTTGGGCACTAGTGCAGTTTTTACACTAATTGATTCTCAGCAGTGCCATATTTCAGCTCTTCCAAACATCCTACTACCCTGGAGCAAAACCCTAGCTTATAATAAAGGGCTTCGAGAGTGCAAAAAACAAAAAAGTTAGTGTTAATTTTTCAATGCCAGACAGACTCCTTGGGGAACCTTAACTCAACATGCATGAGCAATACTCACAAAAGGACAACACATTGCAAATAAAATGCAAAGCAGAACCAAATGGAAAAAGAGGAGAGAGAGAAAAGGAGCTGGAAAGAAAGACAACGCACGTGTGTGTAAACACATGCACACAGAGGGGCACCACTCGATGAAGCTGCTTAGTTTTTGCTCTGTAGACTGCAAAGTTACCTGGACAGAGGCCTCAACTCAATCCAAGGTCATTGAACACAGCAAAGACAAAATCCTGCACCAGGACAAATATGCACTCAATTACAAATTAAATGAGAGCTCATGATGACCTAGAACTTGTCTCAGAGCAGCTTCATGCACAATGAGGAAAAGGCTGTGCAAGCACAGGGTGCTAAGGACACTGGA